TCACAGTGTTTATTCATATTAAAACAATAATGACATCCAAACAGATGTCAGCTGGGTGTTCCTGCGTAGTAACGCGAAATAATATTTTTCAATGGAATCGGTTAGTCCTCGAAGCTGAAGTGAAGGAATCTGTCATTTTTAAGCATTATAACATCATCAGTATCTTTTCTTTTTTTTTAGGGAAGTTTTTGTAAAAAAAAAAAAAAACAGCTCAATCGATTTTTTTGTGTCGTTCCAGAACAGATTATCTCAGCTATTGACCAAGGCTTTATTTATTCTATCGTCTTTACTTTTAGTGCTTAGCTGTGGTGGAGGAGGAAGCAGAGGTGGCGGTGACGGCGGCGAAGGTGGAGGTGGTGGTGGTGGTGGTGGTGGTGGAGCAGGCGGTGATGGCGGTGGAGGAGGTGGAGGAGATGGCGGCGNGTGGTGGTGGTGGGCAAGGCGGTGGTGGCGGTGGAGGAGGCGGAGGAGATGGCGGCGCCGGCGGCAGTCGTAGCCTTGGTAAGTAGTTTTCTTGTATGTTCTCCTTTTTAAGTAACATCCACATTGAGAGAAAAGCTAACATAGCTTCAAAAAAAGAATAATTTGTAAGTTATCTCTCTTAAAACTAATACACTCTTACCGTTTTTCTTCGAATACAAATTGATCCCTTAGTCTCGTCTTCCCGATGAAAACGAAACGATAAGTGTGTTAAAAACTGATTGTTTCCCGTTCATGTTTACCGTTCATGTTTACTTTCATTCAAGAATGGGGAATTCAAACTAAGTTTTGTGTTTTTCAATGTTGTACTAAAATAGATAAACTTAGCTCTTGATAAGGGCCTTTTAAACTGTATTTTGTTTGTCTTCTAGGGCCAACCATCCCTGAAGGTGTAGGGCCAACAACTGAAGCAGATGGCGGTGACGGTGACGACGACAAATGAGAACTGAACAAGATTGAAAATCAAGCCGCTGTTACCTTTCTCTTGACAAATAATCAATGAAGTTACATGAATTGCCGATATGGAGTTCAATTTTATGTAATTATCGTAGTGGTAGACTTACAAAGTAA